AAGAAAGAAAGAAAGAAAGAAAGAAAGAAAGAAAGAAAGAAAGAAAGGGAAAGAAAGAAAAGAAAGGGAAAGGAAGGAAAGAAAGAAGGGAAAGGAAAGCAAGTTAGTCTTCTGGCCAGGTCTTCTTGACTCATAGGAAACTAGAAAGGAAAGAAAGGAAACTAGAAAGGAAAGAAGGGAAAGAAAGGAAAGAAAGAAAGAAAGTCAGTCTTCTGGCCAGGTATTTTTGACTCATAGGAAACTAGAAAGGAAAGAAAGAAAGGAAAGAAAGATGGGAAAGAAAGAAAGAAAAGAAAGTCAGTCAGTCTTCTGGCCAGGTATTTTTGACTCCTAGGGAACTAGCTCTGGTCTTTTGGTTCTTGTTTTTGATTTCACACCATGAGGCTGCGATACGGATCTCAAAGGCGGCTCATCTCGTGGGGAGCCGCTTTTGTCGATCTTAAAAGCAGGCAGGGATTTCTTAAACGGTTGCACAATGGAGGGACTGAGACAAAGCTCAGAAAGATTTATTTAAACTTTAAACTGACTCCCCCCACCACCCCCCTTTTGACATTCTTGGAGGAAAACATGCACACAATCTAAACATTTAAAGCCGCGCCAGGGTTGTTTAAACAAGTATGCTTTGCACTGCGCAATGAGAAGGAGAACGCTACTATGTTGTGCACACAGGTGTGTGTGGCAGCGTACAGTGGATTCCAGACTAATGTGTGTTTTAAGCCGAAATAGATGTAGGACATTCTGAAAACTTTGATCCATAGCTGAAAATCATTCCAAATACTTCTCTTTTCCCTAAGCCCAGGTTTTTTAATTTTTTTTTGCCACCCCAGAGAGGGAAAACGTGCCCCTCCCTCTTTGTCCCAACCGAGAGGATCAAATCTTATTCACCAGGCAACAAATGCTGCGCCTCGGATTTTCTCAGGGTGCCTCACTTATTATAACCCAGACTTCCAGAGGATTCTAACCGGATGTTGTTGCTCATTTTACATCGGAATATTTTAAGAATATTTTATTCTTGGCAGGATTCCTTTTGCTGACTCTCCTCTAACTTGGTTCTGATCTGTTGGGTGGTTAGCCGCGGTGGCACAGCGGTGGTTAGAGTGCGGTACTGCAGGCTACTTCTGCTGACTGCCAGTGGACTGCAGTTTGGCAGATCGAATCTCGACAGGCTCAAGGTTGATTCGGTCTTCCATCTTTCCAAGACGGGTAAAGTGAGGACCCAAATTGTTGGGGTGGTGTTGGACTCTGTCAACCCCTTAGAGAGGGCTGTAAAGCACTATAAAGCGGCGTTATAAGTCCAAGAGCTGTTGCTATTAATTGCTCACCTTAGGACGCTACAGCCACCACCAGGAGATTAAGAGCCCCCTCCCACTTGCTCCACTGTGTTCCCAATCCTGCTTAGGTGCCCTGGGGCAGCTGCTGCTGTTGACACAATATAGGGTGTTCCAGGCAACCCCATTTCAGTTGCCCAGGTGCTCCTCGGCACCTACATTCTGCAGAGGTGAAGGTGAATTCAGTTCAGTCAAGAGGCTCCCTGTTACATAAACCCTGTGGGCACAGCCACTGACCTGATGTGGCAAGCACATGCATAGAAATAGGTAACTTAAGGAGAAGGAAGAAACTGAATACATGGGATTTGTTTTATCAATGGCTAACTAGCAGAAACAGAAGTTAGAAATGTAAAGAAGAATGACATAAGGTTCACTAACAATGGATAAGCACATACGATTATTATTTGTGATTATGATTCTTATGATTCTTATTGTTATTGCTATTTCTCAAAATTAACTTTACCCAGAACACACGCTGTTTATGTAGAAATTTTTATGTTTAATAAGTGCAATAGCAATAGAACTTAGACCTATATACCGCTTCACCGTGCTTTACAGCCCTCTCTAAGCGGGTTCTCTAAGTCAGCCTATTGCCCTCAGCAATTTTGGGTCCTTATTTTACCCACCTCGGAAGGATGGAAGGCCGAGTCAACCTTGAGCCTGGTGAGATTCGATCTGCCGAATTGCAGGCAGCTAGCAGGCAGCAGAAGTAGCCTGCAGTACTGTACTCTAACCACTGCGCCACCACGGCTGATAATAATAAAAAAATATGTGACTTCAGGAGAAAATTAGCGCTCTACTCCCTGGGATTAGCCACTGGCACAAATGGCGTTCACTTCTTTTTACTTGAGACTTATTTGGTGGTTTTAAGTCTGTGTCTCTCCCTGCTCCTGCCCAAGCCATTCTCAGTTCCTCCTTGGGGATGGAGCCTCACTTCTCTCGGGGCAAGGTAAGGTTTGGAGGCTGTCTGGCATGACTTTTTCTGGGCTGCCTGCTACGCCAGAGGAAAGGATCCAGCTGTGAAATTGTCTTTTCCCCGTCCTGAAGTCTTGGTGTGTTTCTAGCGCTTTAAAGAGTTCCTGTTATTTCCCCGCTGTTTGAAGGGTTTATGGGGCTCGGGATACCGTCTAACCGGCTCCTTTCTCTTCTAGTTGTCCTGCTAGATTTTGCCAAGGCCCAGGGGGATCTTGGATGGCTCAATCATCCCTATGGAAAAGGGGTAAGTTTCTGGTTCTTCCTGGCAAAATTGCCCCCCTAGTCTAAAAAAAGTCAGCTTTCACAGTGTTAACTCGATTTTTGAGGGTGGAGTTTCCCTCTAGTGCAAGGCTGTCAAACTCAAATTTCATTGAGGGCCACATCAGGGTTGTGTTTCACCTTGGGAGGCCGGGGTGGGCGTGGCCAGCTCGACAACACTCGTGTCAGGGATTGTCTGTGGCGGCCTGAGTACTCTGCCAGCAAAAACAGGCTCCCAAGCTCCGTTTTCTGCTGCAACAGCCTCTTGTCAGCGAAAACGGAGCTTAGGAGGGCTGCAATGGCGGCCTTCCCGAGCTCCGTTTTCGCTAGCAGAGGTACCATGGGCTAGTCCGTTGTTTTCAGGGTGACCACGTAGGCCAGATTTAAATACCCTGCGGGCTGGATCCAGCCCACAGGCTTTGAGTTTGACAACTCCTGCTCTAGTGGAAGGTATAACAAGCTTTGCTTAAAATATCTGTTTTCATTTTTAAAAGGGATTGGTTCCATTAGAAGGTTGAACCGAAACATTTTCTCTTATCGGATTAAAACAGTACAGGATACTGCTAAACTAATTGGGTCTTGAAAGGACGGGCAAATGGGGGGGAAAAAAGAGGCCCAAATGACCATCGGGAAGTAGTTCTAGGAATTAGAAAAGGCTGCCGTAGCCAAAGGCAGCACAGCTGTAATCTTAAGAAAGCCAGGGAAATCCATCTAGGTCCTTCGTCATTTTTGTAAGCAACTACACCGAGCCACAGTTCACAACGTGAGATTAGATGGATGTAGATGAGGAGTCTTTATTAGAATTAGATATGACCTTGTGGATGACCCTCACTCTGTCAAGGACCTTCGAGTTCTCATATCGAATGACCTAAGCGTCAAAGCTCACTGCAACAGTATTACCAAAAAGGCTTTTAAGAGTTGTAAATTTAATTTTATGAAACTTCTCCTCTGGTAATACTGATTTGCAAACTGGGGCATTCAAGACCTTTGCTAGACCAATACTTGAATACGGCTCTGCTATCTGGAATCCGCACTGTATATCAGACATAAATTGAGCGAGTCCAGAAGTATTTTACCAGAAGAGTACTACACTCTTCTGTCCGCAACAGAATACCCTACACCACCACACTTGAGATTCTAGGCTTAGACAACCTTGAATTACGCCAGCTAAGATTGGACTTAAGCATAATATATAAAATCATATGTTACGACGTCTTACCAGTTAATGAATATTTCAACTTTAACCACAACAACACAAGAGCACACAACAGATATAAATTAAATATAAACCACTCCAAACTCGATTGCAGGAAGTACGATTTCAGCAATAGAGTGGTCAATGCCTGGAACGCACTACCTGATTCTGTTGCCACCTGCTCAAACTCCCACTCCTTTACCCTCAAACTAACCTCTATCGACCTCACCCCATTCCTAAGAGGTCTGTAAGGGGCGTGCATAAGTGCACAATTGTGCCTACTGTCCCTGTCCTATTGTCCCCAATTATTAGTTCCTATTTCTTGTATTTAAATTTATGTTTATTCTTATTTCTATTATATTGTAAGCATTTGACAAAATAAATAAAATAAAGAGTTGGCCGTGATGGCTCAGACAGAGGAGTTCTGTGGCTGTGCATGGTGTTCAAAGCAATACCGTGATGTCTTCTCCCTCCCTCCACCAGTGGGATCTTCTTCAGAACGTCATGAACGAATCCCTCATCTACATCTACTCAGTCTGCAACGTGCAGGAAGGCGATCAGGATAACTGGCTGAGGACCAACTGGATCTACCGAGGGGAAGCCCAGCGTATCTTCATTGAAATCCAGTTCACCGTCCGGGACTGCAACACCTTCTCGCCTGGGACGGGCACCTGCAAGGAGACGTTCAACCTTTTCTACGCCGAGTCGGACGTCGACTACGGCATCAATTTCCAGAAGCGCCAGTTTCAAAAAATCGACACGATTGCCCCCGACGAGATCACCCTGCTGGAAGACTTCAGCACCCGCAACGTGAAGATCAATGTGGAGGTGCGCTCGGTCGGGCCTCTCACCCGGAAGGGCTTCTACGTGGCCTTCCAGGACATCGGTGCCTGCGTGGCACTCCTCTCCGTCCGGATCTACTACAAGAAGTGCCCCGGAGTCTTCCGCAATATGGCCAGCTTCCCGGAAACCATCGCCGGAGCTGATTCGCAGGCCCTAGCCAAGGTGCCTGGCACTTGTGTGGCGGAAGCCGTGGCCACTGAAGAACCCTTCATGCACTGCAACTCGGACGGAGAGTGGCTGGTGCCCATTGGCGAGTGTCTTTGCCGGGAAGGGTATGAGAAAGACGGGGACAGCTGCAGAGGTAAGTAAACCGTGACTCTCCCTCTCGCTTCGTTTACTGAATTTCTAGTTTGTTCGGGCACTAAATGAACGACATTTTAAAAAGTTAAGGAGGAGAAATGTCAGTTCCGGCTTCTGCGAAGGTGGCGCGACTGGGTAGATTCTAGGATGGCAACCCAAGGGAAGCAAATGCTCTTATTTTCATTTGATTGGGGTAGGAGTATGTGTGGGAAGCTGGAATATTGCCGGGACGAGCAAAAGAGTTAAGAATGTGCATGGTGTAAAGGCCTCCATACACTTCCTTCTCCGAAGGCCCATAACTTAGCACCCTGTTCTGGGGTGAATCCGAGGGTGTTGCAGCCCCACGAGAAGGAGGGCATGTAATATCCAAGGAGAGGATTTGCCATGGCTTTTGTCCTTCCTGTGGGGAAATAAGGGGCCTCCAGGACAGACCCTGGCCTTGGAACTGACCATCGGGAAGCGCCGGCAGCTGGAGGCCTGGCAGGACAGAAAGCGCAGGTCTCCCTTGCGGCCACTCCTCAGGTGTGGTGTTGGAGGCCAAGCAGGTGTGTTTTTGGTCCTGCAGGAACTGCTGGAGAGCCAGCCGATCCCTTCCCTCCCTAGAGAGAGACACCCTCTGTCTCCTGGCTGGGGTGTGCCACCTCTGGCTCATTTCCTGCTTGACAAGAACAGCTGGGTGGCGGGGAGGCCTCGAATCCCACAGGCACCTGGCAGATCTGGTGAAGCCTTCTGACGGGACGGGTTTCCCCTCTGCTTCAGAAGCTACGGCTGGGTGCCGCACCGAAGCTGCGCAGCTCCACTCTGGGCTCAAGCTACAGGTCCATCCGTGCTACTCGTTTCTGGCCCTAGGGGACGCTGCTCATCTCCATTACAAAGCCAAAGAGCCAGCGCTGTCCGAAGACGTCTCTGTGTTGATGTGATCGGCACGACTAAACGCCAAAGGCACACAAAACACTGCTCCCTTCCCAACAAAGAGGTCCCTATTTGTCTACTTGCATTTTTTTTACGTGCTTTCGAACTGCTCAGTTGGCAGAAGCTGGGACCAGGAAAGGGAGCTCACTCCGTGACGCGGCAATGCTAGGGATTTTGAACCGCCGAACGGCCGGCCTTTCTGACTGACAAGCTCAGCGTCTTAGCCCCTGAGCCACCCATCTCTCTCTTAGGTCAGGATTCCATCACAAAGCCAGCTGATGTCCTCAACAGGTGACCCGGGCATTCCTTGGCTAGGCAGGACGTTCCAGCCAGCATGTTGTATAAAAGCAAGCCCAGACCCTACAGGGAGGAGGAGGTGCATAGGCGCACAAGGAGGCTGAGGGCAAGAAGATTGCGCCTCAGGAATGTGCCCAGAGTTTGCAGAGAGAGAGAGAGAGAGAGAGAGAGAGAGAGAGAGAGAGAGAGAGAGTTCTCAAGGTTACGGAGCCCTCTTGAGTACACACAGCCTCCCCCTTCTTTTCCTCTTCGCTACCGACAGGCCATTATCACACTTCCCTCCTGCCAGACACCGGTGGCATTTGGCCCCTGATAACCAGTGTCGCCAGGACCCAACTATGGAGGAGGCCCTGTTTTTTTTTTTTAGGTCCGTCCTATTGCAACTCGGTGCCCTCTGGTGTGGCTAGGACGAAGCTTCCCATTGCAAAAAGCTCCTCTCTTTAAGCCCAACTACTCAGAAGAGACGGAGCATCTGCTGCTGAAGGAGCATCACTCACATCTTCTAAATCAGGGGTCTCCAACCTTGGCAACTTTAAGACTGGTGGACTTCTGGGAGTTGAAGTCCGCCAGTCTTAAAAGTTGCCAAGGTTGGAGGCCCCTGTTCTAAACGTCCTGCCTGGGCCTCCACCCTATCCAAAAGCTTGCTGTGAAGGGGACGCACAAAGCGTAAACTTCCGATAAACAGCCGTTCGTCTTCTCCCTGCCTGCTCAGAACTGCACTTCAATCCACTGATATTTGCTGGATACTCAGCCACTTAAGGCTGACTGTTCTTTTTTGTGTGTATGTATATATATATGGGTGAGCAGCCATGCTGCGTTGGGCCAGTTTTGTTCTCCTTCTCCAGCCAGAAAGTAATGGCGGCAACAGCTTCTTCTACGAGGAGAATTGCAGAAAAGGAGCTTTTGGGTTAAAAAAAACAAAACCCCAAGGCCTCCAGAAAAGGCAGCCCTGGGTGGGAAACAAAGGAACAAACAGAGATATGCGGGGTTTCCTGCTTACAGCACACCCCCGCCCGCTCTCCTTTTCTGCCACCAGATGTTCCACTCCCAGCAACCAGCCAAGTCTCCCTCAGTCAGAGAAATGTGGGGCGGGGCTTTGGGGGTCCTTTTAAGCAGACCTCTTGGGTTAAGCGGGAATTCTTGGGCAGATACTCTCCCGTCGCCCACCTCCTTCTCCCAACAGGCTGGCACACCTTCCGCTTTGCCAAGCAAAGGGCAACTTTGGGCTTGCTTAAAACCCCGATAGGGCATGAGACGCAGATGACCAGGGATTCAATGCACCGCATTCGGCATCTAAATGCCGACTCTTTTTAAGATCCTGACGTGTACATTTCTAGTAACGTGTGGTCGATTCAAATGGTTCCAATTAGGTGGACAGGTTAGTTTTAGCAATATTAATCATTATTTAAAAAGGCACGGATTTAAAAGGAGTAAGCGTCTTCGGAGACGATTCTGGCTGCGGTGACATACCGATTTCAAAAGCGATGGGTTTACCTCCGCTGCTCCTACAAGTTCTGGGCTGCAGATCACGGCTGCCCTGTTCTGCCTCCCTTGGCTGCTATTTTGCAATCATCGAAAAATTCGGTAGCCTCGTTTGGTAGCGCTCTATCTGCTCATTTAATGCGGATATTAGAAATTGTCTAATTGGATTCCAGTTCAGATGTGATGTGACGCAGCCAACATGAAGGGAATAATCAGTATAATAAGCAAAGCATTACTCCGATGATTGGTGTGGCGTGAATTCCCCCCCCCCCGAATGTTAAAATACAATTCAGAATCCTAACCAACCCAGGGCGGAGCTGCTGCAACAGTATGCGTTCTGAGTAAGAGTTTTAGGAGATCTATGCTGCCATTATGACTCCGCAGACGATACGTACGGCAGCTCAGCAACATCCTGACTATCTATTATACTCACCACTCCCAGTTTATACCAAGGAAGCAGCTGCTGGCACACCTGCCTGGGAAGCCCAAGGCAAGGCCTCAACATGCCTGCTAATTGCACATGGCCCCCTTTGGCCCCCAGGCACAAAGAGAAGTTTTCGCTAAGGAGGGACCGGGGGTGGGTGGGGCGGAGGGAGGAAGAGGGTGGGCCTGTTCCAGTTCTAAGATGCGCCCAGAATGTTTCGCCCTGCACATGTCTAGACAACCTGGGTTCTCTGGCCAATTTGGGGGCATTGTTACAGTTAAAAAGACCCCCCACACACACACACATTTGCCCTTTGGATTCTTGATTAGAGAACGTACTTCTAGGAAATAAAGTAATATACCAGCTCTTCACCCACTAAGATGGGCCGATCATAAATAGTGCTTGAGATTTAGTTTGATAACAGAGGACATAATTTGCGTGAAGATACGCCTAAATTTCATCCCCGGCATGAAAAAGTAACCCTACAGGGCCAATGTTGACTCAGATGATCCCAGGGTCTGAACCCTAGAGATGACAGGATACCGTACTGAAAATTTACAGAAAGATGGAAATAATCTCTGGCCATTTTCTGGAGCAGCTTAGAATCTTGTGGACCTTGGAAGTTTTCTAGCCCGGCCCCTTGCTCAAAGCAGGAAAAATCGTGCTGTTAACATCTACCATTGTTTTTTTTAAATAAAAATTTATTTTTAGACAAACATACACAACATAAAAACATAAAGCCTTCTTCCAATTATGTATATAAAAATGTGTCGGTTGGTTACAATTTTTTTGTGCATCCTCTCCATAGTCCTCACTTACCGTTATTTGTATATATTCTCACATCAATCAAATATTTCTAAATACATTATTATGATTGTTAATCATTCATTTGACTTATTGTTCCTTCGTGTTAAACGAGATATTCCATATTTTTCAATTGATTTATAACAATGCATATTATTATCCTAAATCCATCCAATAATAATACCTCTTCTATATAATTCTATTCTCCATATATTGTAAAATTCTACCTATTTCATTACCTTATTTTATTTTCCATCCATTGATAGAATAGATCCCAAATCTTATCAAATTGTTTATCTTCTTGTTCTCTAATTTCAAACGTCAATTAACTCGTTTCGGCACTACCATCATGTCCCATGTACAACTCATTTCAATGAGAGCTCCCTAAATTTCCATGTTGGGGTGAAGGGAACAATAAGGGATAAACAGTCGCACCGTTTATCAAAAACACGCATTCCAAGGTCTCTTGGTAGCATCTTCAGCCTTGCCTGCACCGCTTCTCCACCTCTATGAGCCCCACCGTCTCAGTCTCAGCCCTGCACGCTGCACCACCCCTTCCCTCCTGGTCGCCTGTCCATCTATGGGGCAGGTTTACTGCCTCAAATTTGTTTCCCTCCCTGAAAAGGGGCTGAAAAGGGACCATGGAAGCAAAATACAGCCTTAAACTTTGGAGCTAAGTCTTTTCCGTTCAACGTGTAATCTCTATGGTTTGCGCGATTCAATCTTTGCATGACAAAGTTTCCAGTCTAGGTAGAAGTTTAGAAGCACCAAAAGGGCTTAAGATGTTGAATCTACAGAAGCTCAAGGAGATTATTTTACCAAGGAGGGGATGTAGAATGTTGTTCGGGGTCTCGGCGGTCCATGCTACTTTCCTCCCCCACTTCTACTCACTTGAATCTCACGAGAAATACATCTTTGAAGACTCGTGGACTTCAACTCCCAGGATTCCTCCTCCAGGCATGTTAACTCGGGAATTCTGGGAGTTGAAGTCCATGAGTCTTAAACTTGCCAAGTTTGAAGACCCTTGGATTAGATAGATAGATAGATAGATAGATAGATAGATAGATAGATAGATAGATAGATAGATAGACAGAAAGACAAGACAAGACAAGACGACAAGACAAGACAAGACAAGACAGACTGGTAGATAGGTAGCTAGAGATGGAGATAGAAGATATTGTAGATCAGGGGTCTTCAAACTTGACAGCTTTTAAGACTTGTGGACTTCAACTCCCAGAATTCCTCCTCCAGTCACATTAGCTCAGGGATTCTGGGAGCTGAAGTCCACAAGTCTTAAACTTGCTAAGTTTGAAGACCCTTGGATTAGATAGATGATAGATAGATAGATAGATAGATAGATAGATAGATAGATAGATGGATGGATGGATGGATGGATGGATGGATGGATGGATGGATGGATGGATGGATGGATAGATGGATGATAGATAGATACTGTAGATCAGGGGTCTTCAAACTTGACAGCTTTTAAGACTCGTGGACTTCAACTCCCAGAATTCCTCCTCCAGTCATGGTAGCTCAGGAATTCTGGGAGTTGAAGTCCACGAGTCTTAAACTTGCCAAGTTGGAAGACCCTTGCCCTAAAGCCACTTGGGTGAGTCTAGGGGGTGCTAAGGCAGCATCCGTCATCAAAGGGTTTCTCCACCTACTCTTTGCCATTCCACCAGGGCTCCCAATGCCAGCAGAAGGAACCGGTGCAGCCATGCAAGACCAGAGCCCCAGAGCTCCTCCTCCTAAAAGCCTTCTGGGGGGAGCCCATCCGTGTCTTTTCTTCCCACCCCTCGGCACTTGATTGGCTGGGGTTCTCATAAAAGATGCCCTTCCCCTCCCCTCCTGCTGTCCAAGCTTCTTCCCAAGAGGAGGTAGGTCATCTGAACGACCTTCACGGGCTCTCAAGTAGAGGGTCTTTCCTCCAGAAGGTCCCCCTCTGAGGCGACCGCGGTCCTGAGGGCGAGAGATGGTGGCTGGCGAGAGAGAGAGAGGGGCTCAAACCAGAACTTCCAAAGCCGCATCCTCTACCAATTCCTACTGGATATGACTCAATTCCCAGGGCACCACCGAGCAAAGCTGTTTCCGACAGGATAGTGTCATTGTCCAGGAAGTAAATATGAAGTATGTAGCTGGCCAGGAAGTCTTTAAGCTGAATGGCATTTTCTCTGCAGCCCTGTCCTGCCAACGTAATTACAAGGATATGCTACTTTCCAAATCTGCCGGAATCGGCAAGAGATGCTATAAAAAGCCAAAATGGCAGCCGGCAGATGCTCTGATCTCACCCACTTCTTTTTCTCGCCTCTGTTGCATTTTTCTAAAACTTCAGGGCCGGCAGGGCTTCATTTTTTTTAATTATTGGTTTGTTTGTCAAAAAAGTAAGTATAGATATGAACATGAGCATGAAGTAAATACAGATAAATGGGGAGAGTAAGGCAGCGATGGTAAGCACGCTGGTGCGCTTATGCACGCCCCCTTTAAGGTCCTTTTAGGAATGGGGTGAACTATGATAGTTTGAGGATGAACCTGTGAGAGGTTTTGAAATTACCCAGGTGTGCTCTCCTTGGACCTGTTTTTATTTCGGCGCTTGTACTAATACATTCATTCCCATTTTAGAGGTGGAGACTCAAGACCAATAAAGTGATTTGTTCACAATCCACTATCAATCCTTATTATGTCTGCGCGTTTGATTGTAGCCGATGCTGACTAACTATATTCACTGACCAAGCTTGGCTTAATGCTGGTTGTGAAGAGAAGGACCAGGGGAAACAGGATAGCAGCAGTCTTCCAATATTTGAGGGGCTGCCACAGAGAGGAGGAAGGGGGTTCAAGCTATTTTCTAAAGCACCCGAAGGCCAGACAAGGAATAATAATGGATGGAAAGTAAACAAGGAGAGATTCAACCTGGAAATAAGGAGAAACTTTCTGACAGAACAATCAGCCCATGGAACAGAAGTTGCCCTCAGAAATTGTGGGAGCGCCATCACTTGAGACTTTCAAGAAGAGATTGGACTCCTATCTGTCAGAAATGGTGTAGGGTTTCCCGCTTGGCCAGGGGGGTTGGACTAGATGACCTACAAGGTCCCTTCCAACTCTGATTATCTGTTAAATCTGTTTGAAATGGCAGTTAACAACAACAAAAAATTGTTTTCCTTCCAGCTTGCTCGCCCGGATTCTTTAAACAAGACGTCTCCAATAGCGCTTGCTCGAAGTGCCCCGTACACACGCTGCCTTCTTCGGAAGGCTCCACTTTGTGTCCTTGTGAGGAAAGCTACTTCCGGGCTCCAAGTGATCCGGTTTCCATGCCCTGCACAAGTAAGTGAGACACAGAATCGGTCGCTGGGGAGGGATCATTGTCAGGAAGGAGGGTGGCTTTACCAGGTTAGGCGGTTGAGATAAGTGCAGGATAAAGCAAACAGTCTGTGTGCATCAGATCTTGGAAAGGGAGCAATGCACATTTCTTCACTCCGGCGGCGGGACCTACACTTTTATGACTTTTCCCTCTGTTTAGTGAAACCATTCTGGAATTTTTTTTTTAAAAAAAAGCCCTTAGATTGGCGTCTACAATTTTGCTTTGCCCCTATCCCATCTAAGGAAGGAAGAAGCAAGTGCAGAATAGAAGGAGGAGATAAAGGGCAGAGAGAAATACACAACGTAAACCGAGAGAAAAACGGGCAGTTAATGCTCTGACCAAGGCTTCCTGAGTCAGTAACAAAGTTTAGTCCAAACAACTCTTCTTTTATTTCAGCGCTGGGAATTATGTGCGTTTCCAGCCTTTAATGAGTCCCAAATAGTCCCTCGAGATAAGCACCCACCTTTCTCTCCTTTGAATTGCTGCCAACAACTAAAGTGACAAATGAACTGTAAAAAAACAACCAAAGTACAAAGTCCACGCAGAGCTTCAAAGTTTAATCTGAACGAGCAAACAACTTTGCTTCCTGCAAAGGTTTTTCTACCTTTGCACTTCTTTTTTACTTTAATAGGAGGGCCAATCGCTTCCAAACCTTACTTCCGAGTCGCCTCTTTTGTTTTAGCTGCTCTTGCCTTCTAGCAGCTCTGTGCATGCACGTGCTGGGAACAGGCTCCCCTCGTTCCTCTGCCTCGCTGCTGCCAGATTCTGGAGGCTCCGGAATCAGCACATAACTCCCAGATGGTCCTGGCTCCATCTCTGTATCAGACACAGGACCCTCATCCAAGTCCTCCCCCAACTCCTGTACTGGTCCCTGTTCTTCCCACTGTCCAACTCTGCTACTGTCTGCACAGGCTGCCAGCGAACCACAACAGTTAATCAGTTAAATTGCTGGCTTAAGTAATCATCTTCGGCCTTAATCATCTTCGGCCTTGCATCCAAGAGATCTGGGCATTTTTTATTTTTCAATTATTCTTTTTGTCTCCTATCTGATAGAGCCCCCCTCGGCTCCTCAGGGGGTGACAGCAATCGGCCTGGGTGCTAAAGTCCAGCTACGTTGGTCTCCACCCCAAAACACGGGGGGCCGCCAAGATATCACCTATCGAGTGTCGTGCGAACAGTGCTGGCCAGATTCAGGAGACTGCCACGTTTGTGATTCCACTCTCCGGTATTCGGACAATCCACACAAACTCACCAGCACGTCTTTGATGATCAGTGACCTGGAGCCACATGTGAACTACACTTTCACCGTAGAGGCTCATAACGGAGTGTCCTCCTTCAGTACCCAGCGCAGTTACGGAGTCACTAGCATCAGCGTCAATCAGACAGGTAAAGGCCTTGGGTATTGTAACCGGATTAAAAGGGTTGGGATCTAGTGATACGGTCAGACGCCTATTGCCCGGGGCTCTCTGTTCGTGGCCCCTGGGTGGAATTAAGACAGAATTAAGTTCTTTGGTTCTTTGGTTCTGGTGAGACTCTGGGTCGTTTAGTTCTATATCAAAACACGTAATTTTGTGATACGGTTTATCAAATCCCTCAGTTTGAACAGACTCTGGTCTTTCAAAAACAAAATTGGCAAAGCCACTTAGAGCAGGGTTGGCAAACACATGAACACTCAAAAGAGCCATTTGGACCCACAGAAAAGAAAACACCAGGAGCCACAAAACCCTTCCCATGCCTGACTATTTCCTGAGCAGCCACAAAACTAGCATATGTAGTTGAATTAAATGTTCTGTTTTATTCTGAAACTTTCCTTTTCTTGGATTTATGCATGGCTGGCCAAAGAGGGGTCGAAAAACTAAATAAATCGCTTGCTGGCGGGTGTCGCACATTGGCAGTCAGGACACATATTTTTGAGCAACAGGGAGCTGCAGCAGAGGGATGAAAGAGCCCCATGCAGCTCCAGAGCCGCAGGTTGCCGACTCCTGACTTAGAGTTCTATGAAAGGCTCTCCAAATTCTAATCATGGTTATAAGGGTGGAGGAAGGTTTCTCCTTTGGGACAGCCTCTTTAACCCTACGAAGCACACGAGTAACTTAAGTTGTCCCCAACTGAAAGGGGAGCAGCTTTTGATTCTGTAAATCCAACGTTGGGTTGATAGGCAATTCATGTCAGTTCATGTCATCGTATCTGACAAAGGCAATCGTGGGGAAAGCGTAACTGGCTCCATGCAGATTTTGTCAGCCCTTCTTCCTCTTCCTCCTTGTTCAGAACCACCAAGAGTAACTTCGGTGACCATGGACAGTCGCACCGCTACTAGTTTAACATTATCTTGGACTGTTCCTCCTCGCCAACAGAGCCATGTTTGGAAATACCAGGTTACTTACAAGAAGAAGGTATAACTCTTTGCCACCGTTGCAACTTCCTTGCGGGGGGGGGGGGGGCTGGTAATTTGTGGTAGAAAAAGTGAACCGCAGGGGCTTTATTTTTCTTTTGTTGTTGTCGTGGTTACAGAAGGATGAAAACAGCTACTCAGTTCTGCGCTCTGAGGGAAACTCGGTCACCCTCCATAAGCTGACTCCCAAGACCAAGTATCTGGTGAGCGTCCAGGCGCTGACACAGGAGGGACACGGAGCCCACAGCGTGGAGCACGAGTTCGAGACACTCTCTGGAAGTGAGTTTGCTTTGGGTCCTTTCCTTTCCTCTCTTCTCTTTCCCTTCCCTCCTTTCCTTTCCTTCCCTCTTCCTCTCCTCTCCTTTCCTATCCTTTCTCCTCCTTCCACCTTTCCTTTCCTACCCTTCCCTCCTTTTCTTTCCTTTCTTTTCTCCTTCCCTTCCGTCTTCCACTTTTCCTTTCCCATCCTTCCCTCCTTTCCTTTCCTATCCTATCTTTTCTTTTTTTCTTCCCTCTTCCACCTTTCCTTTCCTTCATTCTTCCACTTTTCCTTTCCTATCCTTCCCTCCTTTCCTTTCTTATCCTTTCTCTTTCCCTTCCCTCTTCCTCCTTTTCTTTCCTTTCCTATCCTTTCTCCTTTCCTTTCTTCTTTCATCTTCCCTTCCCTTCTTTCTTTTCCTTCCCTTTCCTATCCTTTCTCCTTTCCTTCCCTCTTCCACCTTTCCTTCCCTTCCTTTCTTTCTGCAGAGGAAGCTCTTAGGATTAATGAGGTGGTGCGGAAATTAAATCTAATACTGAGGCAAAGTTAATCATTTGAGAACCACCTATCTAGGTAATTTGTCTTTTCAAAAAGGCTTCCCATTCTCTCCATAGACGCAGAGGGCGTGAATATTGCTGCAGTCCTTGGGGGATCCATTGCTGGCCTCATCTTCATGCTTGCTGTCATTGTGATACTTTTTCTCTTCATTCGACAGAGGTTCGTGTATTGTTTTAAACTTCTGTTTCTTTCAAACATTTTAGGTGGGCTAAAAATGCCCCGTTTCCCATATTTTTGTCCTCCAAAAACACCCAGGCTCTGTGGGTATGGAAACAATACAAATCTTACGCCCAAACAAAAGAGCAGAAAAGGTTGGCAAACTGTCTCGTTTTCCTTACTCCAACCATTTTTTTTTCCAGCAACTGCATTTCCTGGGTTACTATTTTCTCTCTCCTTTTTTTTTTTTTTGCTGGAGTTTTTTCAAAGCTGGGGAGGGGGGATGAAGTGGGAGGGCGGAAAACGGGTAGGAGTGGGAAGGAAATGTAGAATTCCATCCAGATGACCGAGAATCTGGGCAGACATCTAGCCCTTTGAGAAATGCCTGTCAATTTAATCTCTCTTGGGTTTGCCATTAAAAAAATAAGTTAGAGTAGAAGAGAGCGTGCTAAGTTAGAGATAGGCGTATCGTCCAGTTTTTTTAAACCTGCAAGAAAATTAATATTAATAAGTAGGCCCAGGGCAAAAGAACGAACCTGAAGAGGAAACAACGAGAGCAGCTAAGATCGAGCAGCTAAGATCGATAAGCATCTCCCAAGCCGCCTTATTTCGAAGTTTTAATAACAATGGAAAAGGAGGAGGAGGAGGGAGGACTACAAAACAGACTTCTTTTAATCCAGCTGTTGAGAGATGCCTGTGTGTCTGTGGGAGGCATTGAAGACACTGCCTGTCTTTCGGGAATTATCAGTTAACCCTTCAAATTTCGTTTAGGAAAAAGAATTTGCGGGCCCGGCAGACTTCAGAAGATGTTTACTTTTCCAAATCTGGTGAGTATTAGTCCCTTGGTCGTATGGCTGCACTAGGGAAATTGGACACTGCAGATCATGAGGCGCAGTGGTTAGAGTGCGGCACTGCAGGCTACTTCTGCTGACTGCCGGCTGCCTGCAATTTGGCAGTTCGAATCTCACCAGGCTCAAAGTTGACTTAGCCATCCGTCCTTCAGAGGTGGATAAAATGAGGAGCCAGATTGTTGGGGACAAGAGGCTGACTCTGTAATCCGCTTAGAGAGGGCTGTAAAGTGGTATATAAGTCTAAGGGCTATTGCTACCTTCCTACCTTCCTTCCTTCCTTCCTTCCTTCCCAGTGGTTAGAATACAGTATTGCAGGCTAACTCTGCCCCTGTTAGGAGTTTGATCCTGACCAACTGGCTCAGGGTTGACTCAGCCTTCCATCCCTTCCAAGTTCGGTAAAATGAGGACCCCGATTGTTGTGGGCAAGAGGCTGACTCTATAAACCGCTTAGAGAGGGCTGCAAAGTACCGTGAACCCGTATATAAGTCCAAGTGCTATTGCTATTACTATGGAAAGGATCTAAAGTACAGTTTAGGCCCCGAGTAGGAACATTCATTCTTCGTATTTTTTTTAAAAGAAAAAACGGGTTTGCCTATTTCTATCCAATCACTAAGAGGCGTCAGACCGTGGAGAGAGGCTGGGTTTGGGTCGGATCATGCCACGGAGTCTCTCTCCCCTTCCAAGCAGGAAGCCCACTTGGTGTGCCGTTCCCATTTGTTGTATCCTTGTGACTCTGCAGATCAGCTCAAACCCTTGAAGACTTACGTGGATCCCCACACCTACGAAGACCCCAATCAGGCGGTCCTGAAGTTCACCACCGAGATCCACCCTTCCAGCATTTCCCGACAGAAAGTGATCGGAGCAGGTACCGGGTTCCAGTCCTCTCAAACAGGGCAGGGGAGAGAACGTGGGGAAGGGGGGGGCAGTTTGTTGGGTTTGTTTCAAGGCGGTTTAATCTCCCACTCCGTCGCAAATGATTCCAAGAGATTCTTTTTTCAAGCCCCTTCGTTGTTGTTTTTTCCCCCTCCGTTAGGAGAATTTGGCGAAGTCTACAAAGGGATTCTGAAAAGTGGCAAGAAGGAGAGCCACGTGGCCATCAAGACGCTGAAATCCGGTTACACCGAAAAGCAACGCATTGACTTTTTGAGTGAGGCGAGCATCATGGGGCAGTTCTGTCACCACAACATCATTCATTTGGAAGGCGTTGTCTCCAAATGTAAGTGCGGGGTAGAATCCTAGCTTGGGTCTTGTTTCCTGGCTCCACTTTCACCTGGGCGGTGATAGGAGGTGATATCTTCAGCGGGTTTCACCTGACAGCCTTTCCTTGTCTTTCCAGATAAGCCTTTCATGATCGTCACCGAATACATGGAGAACGGAGCCCTGGATAAATTCCTACGGGTAGGTCTACATCAGGGGTCTGCAACCTTAAGACACCCAGAGGGGTCCCGGGGTTCTCCACGCCCAAAGAGCTGGACAGGTGGATCGAGATACTTGGACCTGTTTCCCACAGAAAATACCGGGAACCACAGCACCTGGATGGGCGAGGTCAACTCAACATCACTCCCACCCAGTCACATGACACCCCCACGCCATGCCTACCCAGGATTTGTGGCTCCCAGTGTTTTCTGTGGGAAATGGGTCTCTCTCTTCCTCCTCTCCCTCCCTCCTTCCCTTTCATTTCTGGTTTTTTTTGTTTTTGTTTTACCTTCTCAGGCCAATTGAGGAATGACTGGGAGGTGAGGGGCGGGGCCAGCCAGTGGTAGAATCACCCAACAGGGAGCCACAGCAGAGGGCCCAAAGAGCTGCATGCGGCTCCAGAGCCGCAGTCAAGGGTGACAATGAATTATGTGTCTCAGAGTCAGTTACACCCAGGCAATATCGCACCTTTAATTCTCAATAAATCCTTTTGAAGCTTTGGAAGTTTGATTCGAGACTATGATTTAAATGGGGTTAAGTGCCGGAATAGCCAACTCTGAGACACAAAATTCATTGTCACCCTCAACCCTGGTTTTTCCCCCACCCCCTCAGTATACCGTACTTCACATTCTCCAGTGGGACACATATCTAGCCAAGAGTCATCTATCATGCTCTCCAATTAGAATGTGCAGTGGCAGAAACTTCGGTCACCTAGAAACTATCTTTGAAAACATTTATGGAATGCACTTTCAGTTTTGCAAGCTGCTACACTGCTCCCCCTTCCCTTTCTGTTGGCAACTCTATAAAGACCATAGAAATATTTTATGAGTTGACACGAGGGTTGCTGGCACCTGGTCTACACCCTCCCCTCTTCCAAACTACTTCCCCCGTGTCGATCCTCCCTTGTGAATCGGCCCTTTCAAATTCTCCAAAGCGAACAGGCTGGAGGTAGGTCTGGGCCAGACGCGATCACCTATTTAAAATCTTCCTCTCAAGTCAGCAGAAAGGATGGCGGCTCTGAATCCTCCCGCTCTCTTTGGTCCAACAGGAAAAAGACGGGGAGTTTTGTGTCATCCAGTTGGTAGGCATGTTGAGAGGAATCGCTTCCGGAATGAAATATTTGGCCAGCATGAACTACGTCCATCGGGATCTGGCTGCTCGCAATATCCTTGTGGACAGTCAGCTGGTGTGCAAAGTGTCCGATTTTGGCCTGTCCCGTGTCCTGGAGGATGATCCTGATGCTACTTATACCACCAGCGTAAGTGATCCTAGATTACTATCTTCTCTCTTATGTGACGAATTGCCGCGAGATTACTACAGCTGAAGCAAAATGTCTAGAGCTTGTTGTTAGTTGCAAAGTCGTGTCTTGACCCATCGCAAGCCCCGCGGACAATGTTCCTCCAGACCTTCCTGTCCTCTATTATCCTCTGGAGTCCATTTAAGCTCACTCCGACTGCTTCAGTGACTCCATCCAGCCCCTTCCTTCTCTGCCATCCCCTCCTCCTCTTCCTCCTCCTTCTTCCTCCTCCTCCTCCTCTTCTTCTTCTTCCTTTTCCTCTTCTTCCTCCTCCTCTTCCTCCTCCTCCTTCTTCTGCCCTCTATTGTTCCCAGCATTCGGATCTTTTCCAGGGAGTCCTTCCTTCTCATGAGGCGGCCAAAGTCTTTTGAGTTTCCTCTTCAGGATCCAGCCTTCTAAAGAGCAGTCAGGGTTGATCTCCTCTAGGACTGACCGGTTTGATCGCCTTCAGTCCATAGGGCTCACAGGAGTCTTCTTCTCCAGCCCCAGAGTTCAAAGGCCTCCATTCTTTGGCGCTCAGCCTTCCTTATGGTCCAACTTTCACAGCCATGCATTGCAACTGGGAAAGCCATAGCCGTGACTCTATATGCCCTTCGTCTAGAACATAAGGGAACTATCGCTAGGTTGAATGAGAATCTGGGAAAGGAGGAGCTAAAAAGGAAGATGTCAACAGATGAATTTGTTTTATTTCACAGACTCCAGTGACGGGGGTAGGGAATGAAGAAACGGCTCTTTTCCCAGTTTATAAACCAGCGGGGAGGTGGCCAAGCCCCCAGCCCAAAATTGATTTGTGTCCTTTAACAGAGCTCTAATGCTTGCTACTGCTCTGTCTCACTTTTCACTTCACGTGTATGGAAGGTTCCTGGCCTAGCATGTGGATTTGAATTCAGTCACTCTGGTTTGTTAAGCAAGATTTACAGCTTGTCCTTGTACAAAAACCAGGGCCCTGTATACCTCGTTGAACAAATCATGATTAAAGCAAGTATTCCACAGTGCAAATATGTGGATCCCAGCGGAAGCCTAAATGGGTAGGGATATGTTTAGACAACCAAAAGATATCAAAGTTCTTTGAAGTCAGGGGAGGACACTTATTTATTTACAAAACAATAGATTATTTACAGTTTATTTATCAAGGTGACATACTTTCCTCTGCGATTTGCCTCCTTCCAACATAGCAATAGCACCTAAGACTTCTATACTGCTTCACGGTGCTTTGCAGCCCTCTCTAAGCAGTTTACAGAATCAGCCTCTTGCACGCCAAATAATCTGGGTCCTCGTTTTATCGACCTCAGAAGGATGAAAGGCTGAGTCAACCTGGAGCCTGGCGAGATTCGAGCTGCCGAATTGCAGGCTGCCGGCAGTCAGCAGAAGTGGCCTGCAGTACTGCACTCTGACCACTGCACCAACCGTGACTCTTTCCTCGCAAACATCATTTGCTCTTCCTCCCACTTAGGGCGGGAAAATCCCCATCCGATGGACAGCACCTGAAGCCATCTCGCATCGCAAGTTCACCACTGCCAGCGACGTCTGGAGCTATGGAATCGTCATGTGGGAGGTGATGTCCTATGGCGATCGGCCTTACTGGGAGCTCTCCAATCATGAGGTGAGACCCCAGTACGAGATACAGGATTTAGCCCTGACAACACCCTTCAACTCCTTTTAATACTCTTGCTTAAAGGGTGGCCTAAAGACATTCCCACTGGTGGACCAGAAATGCCACGTCCAGTCAGGAACAGAGGAAAGAGCCTTCCCATTTCCTTGGGAACTGTAGTTCATCTTCAGCAGGGATTTATTTTAGGATCCTGGGCCTGGAGGGGGCCCTGGAGATCTTCTAGTCCAGGAGTCAGCAACCCGCAGCTTTGGAGCCGCATGTGGCTCTTTCATCCCTCTGCTGCGGCTCCCAGTCACTCCAAAGGTGTGTCACAACCGCCGACGTGCGACACCCGCTGACACACGATTTGAGCTTTTTGACCCCCAGTAGGCCAACCATGGATAAATCCAAGAAAAGAAAACTTTCAGAAGAAAACAATGTTTAATTCAACTACATATGTTAGTTTTGTGGCCGCTCAGGAAATGGTCAGGCATGGGAAGGGTTTTGTGGCTCCCGGTATTTTTTTTTCTGTGGGAAACGGGTCCAAATGGCTCTTTTGACTCTTTAAGATGGCCAGCCCGCCGTTCTTGTCCATTCCAGGCAAATAGATAAGCAATCTTTTCTTGAAACTCTCAAGTGATGGGTTCCCTCACAACTCCAGGCAGTTCACTGCCGTCCGAGCCAGGAAAATCCTCCTTTAGCTCCATTTGTCGTCCCCTCAGGCTCTATGGGGCAGACATCTACTTTGGAAGGGCCATGAAGAGATACCTGTCCAACGTAGCCTCTCCAGTTTTTAAATACTTTTGTACTGTTTAAAAGTTTTTATATTCGTGATCGTTAATACTGAATTTTAACTCTGCATTTTATCCAGCTATCTTTAAAGTTTTCAAAGTTACCTATCGTAAGTCTTCAAAGGCAGGATTCAAACTAACAGAAAAATCAAGATAATGTTCATATGTCCAGAAAAGTAGCTATTTGCAGGGGACCTGGCCTCCGTTTGAAAAGGGAGAGCAAGTGTTCTGCAGGTCAACTCTATCTATCCAAAGACTGAAAATTATCTGTGGATCTTATTCCAGCTTAGTGAAAAGGGTTTGGGGATTCCTGCCGGGATATGATGGGTGGTTAATCTGAGCGCATGTCTTTGGAAAGGCTGAAGGTTGCCGGCCGTTCCCTGTTGGAGCTTCTTGTGCGTGGATGGTGTCAGGGCTCTGGCAGTTACTCCCAATTAAACCATGAGTCTCTAGCCGAACTTCCAACACTTCAAAAGGATTTATTGGGAGTTAACATGTCCGGAACTGCCTGGGTTTTATCTGGCTCTGAGATACATAATTCATGGTCACCCTTGACCCTGGTTTCCCCCACCCCACCCTCTGGGTGTATCCTAATTCATATTCTCCAATGGGACACATCCATAGCCAAGAGTCATGAATCATATTCTCCAGTTAGATTTTTAGCGCGGCAGAAACTTCAGTCACCAAGAAACTATCTTTGAAAACATTTACGGAATGCAAGCTTCTCACCGCTCCATCCTCCCTTTCTATTGGCAACCCTAAAAAGACCATAGAAATACGTTATGAGTTGACAGATTGTCTCCTCGGATGAGTGGACTCTCCAGGCTCCCAACTGCTATTTTCCTCCCCAAATAGGTCATGAAAGCAATTAACGAGGGCTTTCGACTCCCTGCCCCCCTGGAGTGCCCTTCTGCCATCTACCAGCTGATGATGAGATGTTGGCAGCAAGAGAGAAGCCAGCGGCCTAAATTCACTGACATTGTTAGCATCCTGGACAAGCTTATCCGCGCTCCTGAATCCCTCAAGACTATGGCGGAGTTTGACCCTCGGTAAGTCTTCCTCTCGAACATTGCTTGCAGTTTGGGAACCTACCTCTATGCCTTTCGACCCTGACTCTTGACCTAGAACAGGGTCAGTTAACCTTTTCCGTACCGAGTGCCAAAATGGGAGTGTGCGCGCGCATGCTGAAAACCAGAACAGCAGCTCCCCGTCGTGCACGTGCAGGAGCACCAGAAACTGGAAACTTAGCGCACCCGGTCTTCCTGTTTCTAACCTGCGTATGCGCCTAAAGACCAGTTGGCGCTCCAGGGAGCTGCTCTTCTGATTTCCAGAGCTCACACGTGTGCAAAGACCAGCTGGTCGGAGCGCATGTGCATGCCGGAATCCAGAAGAACAGCGAGTGATGGCTGACATGCCCAGAGAGATGGCTGGGAATAGGCTGAAAAACAGCTTCTATCCCAGGGCAGGAGCTCTGTTGAATTCTACTGTATAGTGCCGTGTCAGGGGTTTTCCTTTCAATGTGTGGAGTGTGAAGGATGGGTTTTTATGTTTGTGTTCATGGTCATAATGTGCACTTGAAGATGGCGTTTGATTTCGTTGTATGAGGTGCAGTGACAATAAAGTAAACTTAGTAAAGTAAAAGTAAAACTTACTAAAACTTAAAGTAAACATAGGTTCGCCATTACAGACCTAGAAGGTTATATATGTTAAGAAATAAGGCCCAGAAATAAGAATGCCGTGTTCACTTCCCCAAATCCCCAACCCTATTTTCGAAATTATCTGGCGCTAAAGAGCTGTGGGCCTTTTTTTTTGGTCTTCGAAGGATTTCCATCCGCTTACCCAGCACCAGCGGCTCAGAGGGAGTTCCGTTCCGAACTGTGGCGGAATGGCTGGAGTCCATCAAAATGCACCAGTACACGGAGCACTTCCTAGAGGCTGGGTATAACGTCATTGAGAAGGTGGTGCAGATGACCAACGAGTGAGTGTGGCCGTTGCAGGGCGCATGCCCTAGGAAATGGGCCTTGGGTGGCTGAGCCCTTGACCTTCCACTCTCCCCTCCCCACAGGCCACCGGCTATCTCATTCCACCGCATTTGGAAGTCTCTGTTCTGCTCTGTAGGAAGAATTTACACCCTTCTTCTAAAAGATTTATTTATCCACCTTCTAAGGCAGGGGTGTCAATCTCGAGGCCTGCAGGGTGCTTAAATCTGGCCCAAAGGTCTGTGGCTCTCATGCAACGACCCCATGGCCCGTTTTTGGCTTCCACGGACTCCTGCAGCACTCTGCTGGCCCAAAATGGGCCACGTGAGGCCCCTTCGTGCCCCCATTTTGGAAGGCAGGATGCTGCAGGAGGCATCTGTCCTGTCTCTGCCCCCCCACCACAACCCAGCAGAGAACTAGATCTTCTCTCACCAATCAATGATAATCTTTAGCAGGAAGTAGGAAATGCACATTGTGCAAACGTTACGCGTAAACGGAATGAGATACCTTTCTTAACAAATCCATCCCGGGGACACTTAAATGCCATTTTCCTTTCTGGTCAATGACTGTCCCCCCAAAAGTGCTTTTTCAACCATGGGACCCAGATGACTTGAGATTCTGTACGGAGGTTCCATGAATGTAGCTTGGAAAATTACGTATTTGCACACTTCATTTTCCTTTAAAAAAAATTGCTTAGGGGTGGCTATGTATGAGAATGTCATGTGTTCACAATAAAGGAAGTAACAGATAACCAGAGTTGGAAGGGATCTTGTAGGTCATCTAGTCCAACCCCCTACCCAAGCAGGAGATCCTACACTATTTCTGACAGATGGGAGTTCAGTCTCAAGTGATGGCGCTCCCACAACTTCCGAAGGCAACTTCTGTTCCATTCATTCATTGCTCTCACTGTCAGAAAGTTTCTCCTTATTTCCAGGTTGAATTTCTCCTTGTTTACTTTCCATCCATTATTATTCCTTGTCTGGCCTTCGGGTGCTTTAGAAAATAGCTTGACCCCTTCCTCCTCTCTATGGCAGCCCCTCAAATATTGGAAGGCTGCTCTCCTGTCTCCCCTGGTCCTTCTCTTCCCTAGACTAGCCAGGCCCAGTTCTTGCCCAGTTCCTCCAGTCCCCAAATCATCCTGGTTGCTCTTTTCTGCACTTTTTCTAGAGTCTCAACATTTAGAGGTTGGAATTATGACTCCCCCCCTCTCCCCCCCCAAAAAAATATATGCAGTACAGCAAATTCCATTTGCTCTGCCTACTGTCTTCTTAGGAGCAAAGACTACCCTATAATTAAGCCATTTTATGCCGCCAGAAAAGCAAGAGTGGTTCATTAAATGCAGCGGGATATCTGGCCTTTTGGGATCTCCGTTGAGGGATTTTACAATCCCACTGCACAGAGGCTATAATATGCAAAAGCATGAATTATTACATATTGCGGTTGGCGGTTTTAAAGGAAAGAAACCTAAGCTGCCCAACGGCTCTGAAAGCAGCACGATTCTCCCCCACTAATTCTTTTTGTCTCTTCTTCACGTCGCCAGGGATATCAAAAAAATTGGCGTGCGTCTACCAGGACACCAGAAGCGAATTGCCTACAGCCTCCTAGGACTGAAAGAACAAGTGACCACGATCGGCATTCCAATTTGAGCCAAAGAAATTGGTATCTGGTATTCCGCTGCCCTCGGTGGCTACCGTTCTTCGCTTGCTCAGGCTACAACCGTTCGCAAAACAGACTTCCTGGTATATACTTGAAGAAGTGGAGCATCTACCTGACCTCCCCTCGCCAAAGATGCTGGCAGTTTAGTGCCTCTCTTCCCCCCCCCCCCCCCCCCCACTTCACAGCCCCGTATTTATTGCCCGTCTTCTGGCAAGTCTGTTGGAAACCGCCATGTGCCGTTTGATGATGGTGCCTTATTTCCTCAAGCTGAGCAGCCACGTGGCCTCCTGCCAGCCTGATATGTCTTGCCTGGAAAGACCCTCAGGCTACTGAATGTTTGTAAACCCCCTTCCCCCTCACGCGCACCCCTTCTTGCCTCTCCTTTCTCCGTTTTGCCTCCCAAACCCTTGACTACTACAACTTGAGATCATTGGTCTACTGCTGGCGTGCCACACTCCTGTGTTTTTTTATCCCCTGAAACAAAAGCCTGCTCCTCCTCTTCCCATTCAAATATCTTAGGGCAAGGGTCTTCACACTTGGCAAGTTTAAGACTTGTGGACTTCAACTCCCAGAATTCCTGAGCTAACATGACCAGGGGAGGAATTCTGGGAGTGGAAGTCCACAAGTCTTAAAGCTGCCAAGTTTGAAGACCCCTGATCTATCTTTTATCTATCTACCATCTACCTACCTACCTACTACCTAATCTACCTACCTACCTAATCTACCTACCTACCCACCTACCTATCTAATCTACCTACCTACCTACCTATCTAATCCAAGGGTCTTCAAACTTGACAGCTTTAAGACTTGTGGACTTCAACTCCCAGAATTCCTCCTCCAGCCATGTTAGCTCAGGAATTCTGGGAGTTGAAGTCCACAAGTCTTAAAGCTGTCAAGTTTGAAGACCCCCTGTCTTCGGATCCTTTTCTTTGACATTAAAAATGGTAAAAAGGTTAAGGTAAAGGTTCCCCTTGCACTTTTGTACTAGTCGTTTCTGGCTCTAGGGGCCGGTGCTCATCTCTGCTACAAAGCCAAAGAGCCAGCGCTGTCCGAAGACGTCTCCGTCGTCATGTGGTTGGCATGACTAAATGCCGAAGGCGCACAGAACGTCGCTGTTCCCTTCCCACCAAAAATAAGGGTCCCTATTTTTCTACTTGCATTTTTTTTTAACGTGCTTTTGAACTGCTAGGTTGGCAGAAGCTGGGACAAGTGATGGGAGCTCACTCCATTACGCAGCGCTAGGGATCCGAACCGATGACTTTTCTGATCGACAAGCTCAGCATCTTAGCCACTGAGCCACCGTGTCCCTATCTTTATGGAAAGTTGAGGAGTCCATAATTATAGCTTACATAAGAAGCTATGCTTTAGCTTTAATTCGATTAGCACCGTGCACATTTAGAAGGCCACAGCAGTACACGAAGAACTGTTGGATGTTCTCTTCTTGATGTTTGCTGCTCTACAGGCATAGAAGATTTTTATATTCTTTTTATTCTTTAATGAACCCAATCTGGCACTTCCAAGAGGCTTTACACAGACTGCTCAAGCATCACCTTAATGTGGTTTGCCAAGAATAATCCAGAGACCACACTTTGCAAGTCAGCTTCTTGTTATTTATAAAACCCTTCCTCCCAAACGGCTCCATAAATGCACTCTTGACTTCTGGACAGTTATTCTTCCTTCCTATCAATATTTCATTATTAATGTTAATTTATTTTTATATTTATTACTTTTTTTTTTTTTAAAAAAAGGAACTGTTTCAATATTAAACACAATGCATATTTTTTAAGAAAAAGAATTTGGGCATAAATATTTCTCTAGCTTTAATAAAATGTTTTTATTCTTTTCCGATGTGTTCATGTGAGGGGTGGAAGAAATGAGGGGCGTGGAATGGGAAAATAGCAATGCTAGAATTCAGATAGCCGGCGAAGGACAGGAGGTTTGGCACCAACCTAAGCAAAATTATCTGTACCACATAATAAAGGAGACCAGTCTTTGCTAATGTGGCCATGGCTTCCTCCCCATCCAATTTCCAAAGGAATTAGAGATTTGATCTCCGACATATGATCCAACAGTACTGTTTTTTTATATTACCATGGAAACTGTCAGGTCTAAACCACAAAGCCTAGTTTGGAAATAAAAGGAGATCACTCACAGCAGCAATATTTCTTCCTCAACTTCCCAGCAACGTTCGCTCGTTTCGGTTTACGTTTCTCAATATTCAAGTTTAGATTTCTGTTGTCTTATGTGCAACAGTCTCTTGCTCAAGCTGGGGGGGAGGGGTTGGACTAGATGACCTCCAAGGTCCCTTCCAACCAGTGGCGCGTTTCAAAAATTGTTAGTACAGGTTCGGTGGGCGTGGCTTGGCGGGCGCGCTTTGCCACGTGCACAGTGCAAATTTTGGGCAGGCCCAGAGGCACTTCGACTCGCCTCCTGCCCTCCTGCACTCTCTCCCTGTCGCTTCAGCAGCTGCCGCGCAACAATTGCTGTGCTGCGCAAAACAGCTGTGCTTCCAAAGCGGGACATAAAGTTTAGTATGGGAGCACGGGCCCAGCGGGTGGGCCCAATACACAGCGTCGGAGAGAATCGGTTCCGTCTGCGCTGCTTATCGCCGCTACTGACTTGGCCGAACCGGTAGAATACCAACACTGCTTCCAACTTTGATACACGTCCTGTCCTGTTCACTTTTCTTGATGGGTGCAAAGGGAATAAGAAGATACTGGAGCACTACCGAAATGGGGGCGGGGGAATTAATCTCTCTGAACATCCCCATGTCCGTATGCAATGAGCAAGTTCCGTGTTTAACTTAGTCTTTGCCAGCTCCATTTCCAAAACGATGCAGGTAAGTTGAATGCTGTAAAGTCTCCAGGCCCTGCCGGGTGGATTTCTGTCCTGCAACACCTGATATATATCACACAACAGCGCAAACATCTCTTCAGTGCATGACAATACCTGTTTTGCAAACAGCTGCAAAATGACTTTCATGTTTCAATCCCACAATAAGTGCCAACCTAGAGGGGGAGAAAGATGGCCGGTCTGATAAGCAGCTATATCTCGGAATGCCAAGCGACAATTAAGTCTAAATACTCTCATTTAGAGTTAGGGAAAAAATCCGGTTAAGCCGTGCCCCCTGTCTTAACGCCAAGAGGAACAAGCCCCTACTTGGTTATTCGTCTGAGACACACGGGTTACCTGGCCAAATCTCAGACCGCTTACTGGGATTTCCACAAAGTTATTTTTCCCCCTCTGACTGAGCTGATAAAGGGATGGAGATTGAATGATGGAGATTGTGTAACCCTGGAGTTGAGAAACAGCACTAGAGCTGTTGGCCATGGTTGGCTCAACCAATGTAAAGTGGATTCTAAAGAAAATGTTGACAAAAACAGAGCCCACAAACTGCCAGAAGGATCAAAGGATCAGAACGTGGTCAAGTTATCTGCTGCTGTTAACTTACTATAAAGGGAGGAAAGCACAGCAGGAAGGAAACAGAAGAAAGAAAGCCAAAGGCTCAGTTAGCAAGATGGATGGGAAACCAAGGGGAATACACCAATTGCAGATTCACACATGTTGCTTGCAGGGAAGTCAAGCTGTGAATCTTTGTTAGCTTGTCACTTTACTGATTCTCAAAGCTCAGGGTGAGTACGCCGTCTCACGGCGTGATTCGAGCAATTTAGCCACCCATCTTACAATACAAGTCTCCAGGGGAGAGAAACATTGATTAAAACCAGCAATTACTGTCCAAGCAATTCCTGGGGAGTTAATGTCTTAATGGAAAATCTCTTGGTGCAGGGAAGAGAAGGAAACTCAAGGAAAATTCCCAATGAAAATCACCTTACTGCCACCGTGAAAAATACACTTTAAGCCATTATAGGTGGCTACAAGATCTCTTGTTTTACATTCAGTTTGGTATTAAAGATTCAGCGCTCTCTCTCCCCCACCCTAATTTCAATTCTGCTTTACCACTTTCTAATCCTAATTTAAGTTGTGGAGACATCCTTTTTAATTATCCTCACGCAGATTGCCTCCGCTAAGAAGCAGGAAGCGGTACAATGTGTTGGGCTCAATAAGAGCTAGAACAGCCAACCCAGGGACAGATAAATTTACGGATGATTGGAAGGGGCCTTGTAGGTCATCTAGTCCAACCCCTACCCTACACCATTTCTGACAAATGGCAGTCTCATCTCTTCTTGAAAGTCTCAAGTGACGACGCTCTTTCTGTATCCCCCCAAAAAGTGTTCCTGGAGGAAACCTCCTCCTTTGAAGGCAGTCAGAAATGCCGTTGCCGCATCCATGGGAGAAGTGCTCCCCCCAACACGCCCAGGAAATACATGGGGGGATGGGGAAACCTCAATTTCTCTGCATATCACAGCACTTTAGGGCACCTAACGGCCATTGAGATAACTCTTGCAAAAGGAGCAGAGAAGCGGGAAGTCATTTCCATTTGAAAAACAATGGGAAGTCAGCCTTATAATGGCCCCCATACCTGCTGGTTTCATACCTGCTAGTTCCTGACTCATCCGAGCACTCTTGCCTTAACCAAGACTTTGCTTACAAGATATTCTCCTCGGCCAGCTTTTGTTTTTTTAGAATAGATACAAAAGGGTCTTAATGAAAAGATTTACAGAACTGTTTCGTTTCTCGATCAATCGAAGCTAAACGCACTGTGAAGATATGGTGGCCCATATGGGTACCTGACCTCAGTTCTGATATTATGAATGAGAAGATTGGAATATTGAGAAGATTGGAAAAAAATTATGGGAAATAAACTATAAACTAATTCTATCAGCAGCATTTATAGAGAATTTATACAAAATGTTTTACCGTTGGCATTTACCCCCAGCAGGATTGGCTAAGATGTTCCCTAATAGATCAGCAAATTGTTGGAAATGCAATTATAAACAGGGAACTTATTTCCATATGTGGTGGACATGCCCTCAAACTAAAAATTATTGGTTTAAAATTAGGAAATGGCTGGAGAAAATTACAAAACAGAAAACTGAATTGAGACCAGAGACATTCCTATTGGGTATATTAAGAGATAAAGTAAGAAACTCCAATATATTATATTACATATAATAACTGCAGCAAGAATAGCCTTTGCCCAGAATTGGAAAAGTGACAGCATTCCCTCTGATATTATGATAATAAAAAAGGTTTTAGAGTGTGCAGAAATGGATAGGCTTTCAATGGAAATGAAAGAGAGAAAAGAGACAGAGTGCTATGAAATCGGCTGCAAGGTAGTCACAAAATAGATGAAATGAAAAGTTATGGTGTGATGAAATAATTTGGTATGAATAGGCATAACTATGTATACTGATGTATAAATATGTAAATAGCTACATAAATATATGAAAATATGACATAAATCAAATGTAAAATAATTGTAATAATATTTACAAGTATTCTATATACTTAAGAATATGTCAAAGTGAGTGAACACTACTACAAATATGCTGCAATGAATAGAAATATGTTTTTAATTGTTTTTTTAATTGTAGAATTTGCTTAATAAAGTTTTTTTTTAT